GTTGATCTCATTTCTAATTTTAAGGGTACCCGACTTTCAACTTAGAATTAGAACCCTTGAAATACTTCCAACACTCATGTGTTGGTAAACACAAGAGAAAGAGGAATTAGAATAGTTTTAGTATCCGTTTTTGATAAGGAATAAGAAAGAGTTCTCAGTTGCAAGGACCTATATATTTTTAAATGACCCCTCAGTGCAATACTTCCGACCAACAACACAGAAGAAGAAAGAAAACGGAACGTACACTTTTCAGCTTCTCCATGCAGATATGGCGTTGTATAATGGCCTTAGGATTGTCGGCAACAACAGAGCAGATAAACCAAAAAATAGAGAGCATAATTGTAGATGCTTATGGTGCCAATATTGGAAAGACAACATTTCCATTTATGACCATATTTATATCTAATAAGTAGATAAAATACATAAATCATCGTGTCGGCATCCCTTTTTATTTTTTTTTTAAAAAAAAAAAATTCTAACTCATAACGGTTGCCCAACCTAAGTTGTCATGTCAGATAGTATTAAAATGTGATATATTTATATGGTCATCTTATCATTACCTATTTCTTAATGAATTGCAAATAGCTTAACATGTATATATGCAAACCTTAGATTTCGGACGCCCCACCATAGACAATAAAGAAACCTGGTTGTAAAATGCGTCGATCTTGTGATTCCGGACCCAATGGCATAAAAAAATATTCCAAAATTTAATGCAGTAGCATTTGGTGGATTTGTGGGGCATAACTCATTTATGAATGTGGTATTTCGTGAAGTACTGCCACTGCAGTAATAAGTAGCGCCACCACATGCCTTGGTGTTTTCACAGTATTTGTACCAGCATGATATCTCTCTTTTTTTTTTGATGAAGCATGATATCTCTCTTTGAATTGAAAAGAAGTACCAAAAGCCTCCCAATACCTAAAAGGACAAAGGGTTAGTTCATGATTACATCATCACTATAAAGGTTAGTGAAATTTGGGATATATTTAACTTTAACACAAAACTTATTTATACCTCTTCACTTTAACAATGTTTACTCTAATAATGAGATTGGCCAGTCATTTTCTCTTCCTAGCCACACTGTTCACAAAACTTCAATTTTTTTTGTCAGTAGGTAGGAAGGGCAAGAGGGAGTACATCGTTGGTTCCTCAAGATTGCACAATACCAAGTTTCGAACCATGCCATTTGGGAAGTAGGGGAGGGCCTTAACCACTTAACTTAGAGCACTTTCATCCATTGGGCTATGGCAAAAGCCAAAGGCAAATAAGGGCAGACACTATTCACATAAATAGTAATTGCCATAACAATTTTTTGATGCATTCTCACCCATTGCCATGCCCAGTTGCGGAATCGGGAATTGAGGTTAGAGGGGGCCCTCTTGCAAAATATAAAATAAAGAGAATGAGAGCATAAACACTACAGGTTCTCGTAGAGCTTCTTGAAAATCATTTTTAGACCCTGTTCGGTTCATTTTTACACATGATTTTTCATGTTATTCACCCACTATTTTGAGTTAGTTCTTGACATTTTATAGCTTTTTACTTCCTTTTTGTGTTTTCTTAGATTTTACCTTGGTTGGAATGAAAATGAGCTAAAAGTGCATTATTGGTTATAAACTTTGTTTTTGTTCATTTTCGTAGGTCAACTTCTTGGCCTGGGATCAACATGCTCTGGTGCTCGGATGAGGTCATGATCTTCATGAGACTTGTTCCAATGGATGTTAACTACAACATATCCAAATTTGAGCTCCATTGGACAAGTATTGCCTATCCAACCAATCCAGCATGTCACCACCGCTCTGGAAATCCGGAATTGGCCAGCTTTTACCCCCATTGTGTCATCTTGATTATTCTTGTTACCATAACACTTGGTAACAAGAATTTACCTCAGTAGATGAGATATTTTCTGAAGCATTTGGCATCTTTGTGAGGACAAGGCTTCATCATTTGCAAGGGGACAAGAAGACAATGGGTGAAGACTTTGCATTAGAATACTAAAAGTAAAAGCTGGAAAGGAGGAGAGAGGGAAGCAAAAGGA